TTAACGACTTATAAAATTCTGAAAAAAGTCAAAAATTTATTTTTTTGCCAGAGATGGCTAGATCGATTCGGCTGTTAATGCCGATAAAGAATATATATGGTTTATAGGGTCGGAAACGAGTGCTTCACAGCATTTGACTAAAATTAAAGATATGAATGATTAAGTAAAGCAAGAACTATCTTTAAACAATTTTTTCTAAATTCGTCAGTGATTAAATATAAATTTTTATTAATAAGAAATTGTAGACATAAATATAAAATATATAATATATTCTCTAAGATAAATATTATATAATAAAATATATATTATATTATCACATATTCATTACTTGAAAATACAAGTATTTAATGCATGTTACTTTAGAGCATTTATAAATTATAATATATAATATCAAAAAATTATACAATTATTTAATAAATTTTCTATACTCTCAGCTACTTATAGGTGCTTTAATTTTTAAGTCTATTTACTATTAAAGATCAAAGATTAAACATTGATTTGATATATCAAGACTCATTTGTTTATCTTTATATTATCTTATTATTATATCTTACTGTTAAACAACCCTTACATTTTTAATTCAACAAAATCCCCATTTATTTTAAGATTTCTTCAAATTTAAAAACCCCATAAAACCCGATTACTTTTTTATTCTTTGACCTCGTATTAATAAAAACAATTGTGGCAGGCAGCCTGGGGGTAATCAACTGATAAAAATTAACCAAGATTAAGCCCAAGTGGTGGTCATGACGCTCCATCCATTGAACTTTGAAGGCAGCCTAAGGTTAAAGCATTATGATTAATCTAAAAATAAAACCCGTAAATTGAAACCTTACCCTTAAAAATATATATTTATATATATAAATGTAATAAAAACCAATTGCCTTTGAACTTTGCAGACTTCCTAATTGAGGGGGATTAAAACCCATTCAGGTGGAAATAGGAAGCATAAATCAGGTGAACCTTTTTTTTCAATTTAATTATGAATGTAATTCAAATTCAAATTGATACTTTAAGCGGATTACATATACCATTTCCATTGACATATTCCAATTAAGGAATAAATTAGCCAGCGACACATGTAAATTAATAATATATACGCAAAAAATAAAGGCAGGCAGAGACAAACAAAATTATATTTACTTAAATTAAGTTGGCAAAATTCGATTTGCATATTAAACCAGTTTGCACCGATTTACTAATCAGAAGTGAGATATATAAATATGCATCAGAGCGTGTGAACCGAACTTTGTTTTTTTGTATTTTTGTCAATGAACTAGAAAAAGTTACTTTTGCTATATAGACTTGAGAATATATATCATTCCAGTTTGCCTTTTTGGTAAACTGTAAGTAACTGGAAAAGCTTAACTGGCCAAGGGAAAATAGGAAAAATAAAAGGAAAACCCCAGATAAAGATGGAGGACCACAGCTGGGGGTCATAAATCAGGGGAAAAATTGTTGCTGAAGGAGGAAAAAACTTGCCCAAGAACAGAAGGTGGGAAAACTGTTGAATTATTTCCCACAGGACAGGCACAGGCACACGCACACGACTGTGTGGAAAATTTTTGTTACATTTTCACACTCTAAGCCAAAAGACGAACGGACTCACAAACAATAAACTGCCAAATTCGCATAAAATATTTTGTGTAGGAATTAAAACAGAAGCATATCGAATCCCCAGCTCAACTCCGACTCCGACTTCAATTCGGGGATCAGGGATCAGGAGGTAACCTCAAGGAACCCATAAATTGTTGAAGAGAACCCGAGAAAATCTCCCAAGGAAAACAACAGATAGAAAATGTGTCAAACACAGATATGGCAAGAACAACATTTAGCCCTGGGTTCGCTTTTCCTCTTGTTTTGTTGTTACTGTTGTTGTTGTTGCTTTTGGCCATGGATCGTGGACCAAGTGAATCTGGGCCATAAAAGTGCAAAATGCTTTCCACTCGGCTGGCTGTGGACCCAGTGTTTGTTACCAACCTCACCGAAATCTCCTCGGCGCGTTCCCACCACATGCGATGCACTCGTTAAGACCAGAGAGAACCCGGGAATGGCACTGAGAGAAATCGGGTTGGTAATCAATTTTATTAAATATTTTTATTGGAAATATTACTGAAAATATTACATTAAATTAAATGCGGATTTTGTAGGTAGTAAATGAGGTTCCTATTAAGGTAAAAACTCCTGGAAGGGGTCTTAAAATGTAGGTTAATTTATTTAGTTGTTGTTTGCTTATTTTTATTAATTATTTTGCAGAGTTAATTTTCAAATTTAATGTACATTTTATGGCCAGAAAACTAGGAGTTTATTTAAGCCTACTAAAATTTGTTTTTTTTTGCCTATAAAAGTTCTAAAAAACCCTGGAAAAGGGTCTTAGAAAATTAAATGTTATAATATTTTGTACTTTAATAATTAACAATAAGTAAAATTTCTTTCTTTCTTTGGCTTAATCATTTATTTATAAAATGTTCTAATATATAATGTATTTTCATGGTGAAACTCAGTGAAGGAGTCATTTTCGACCCCATAAATCATATATATTCTTGATCAGCATCAACAAGAGAATCGATCTAGCCATTTCCGGTAAAATAATAAATTTTCAAACATTTTTGAAATTTCAAAAAGAAAGATAAGGGGTTACATAGTTTAAATTTTCAAAAATCGTAAAAAAATTAAATATTAAGTTGACTATGCAGATTTATTAACCTAATAAAAACTAACATGAGACTGCTTTCCGAATTGAAATTAATGCATTTTTGACTTAGTTATGAGATTTTTAAACTTTGGTTTTTGGGAAAAACTATCATATAAAATAATCGATAAATATTGATTCAAGGAATGCGAATATTTAAAGCTAAGTTATAATAAATTTCTTAAAATATCTTAAATTCAATGACACACTTCCGTTTCTTCCTTCTGTTTTTAATAATTTATATAAGTATCTATTAATATTTAACAAAATGTACATTTTTTGAAGATTCAATCATAATAATTATATAAAAATTATACACTACATAATAAGAAATATATGACACATATGTATACAATTTTAGCTCAATAATGATAATAATTTTCTCCAAGTGCCGGTCCAGAGACCATACCCAACACACCGGCTGACACTTGGACATGGGAAGCGGTGTCCGGGGGTGTCTCAAAATCGATTTCTGTGCTACCTACTCATACCTGGGCTCCGGCCAGGTTAAAAGGTTTTGCCTGGTTTGTATCTGGATCTTGGGCTCGGGTGTTACCTGTTGTTAGCCCGGCTAATGGCCAGCAGACCGCGCGACCAACATAAATCCATAAAAACATGAAAAGGGAAACGAGCGAGGGAAAAATAATTAAATTGCAATTATGTGCAAACAATTCCAAATCCGGGCGATTCGGAAAAAGTTAATTACACGACAATAAAGCGCAGAAGAAGACCATTCTTTGCCACTATACTATATATATATATATGTATATATATTACCTGTTACCTGTTACCTGTCCACATCCGCACTGGGCTGATTGGCTTCGGACTCTCGGTCTGACTTGAGCTGACATTAATGGGTATTTGAATGCGGCTTCTGGTGCTTTAATCGGCTGACCGATGGTCTGATGGACTGACATGGTGACACATCGTCGTTCGCATTACTATATCGTTAGTGTCTCCGAGCCTTGACTGCGGATGATCGCAATTTGTTGTTGTTATTTCTTGATTTCGCGACTAAATGGCAGTATCATCATCAGTGGCTCCAGCCAGAGTTTCCCTTTCATCCCAAATACTTCCTCCCCTCCTAATGAAGATGGACAGACAGGGGATTAGTTATGGTCTTATGATAAATTAGTCTGATCCAATTGTCAGACTGTCGTCGGAATTAGTGAAGAAGATCGGTTCGGAAAGGGAAGAGCCACTTTCGCCATATAGATCTCAATCAGTGGACAGACTGATTAAATGAAATTTAATGACGCTTGATTGTTGAGTTTCTTGAAGTTTTGAGTTTTGAGTTTAGAGTTTTGAGTTTCGAGTTTAGTTTAGAGTTTGGTTTGGGTTTTTATCAATTAGATGCCGCCGGTGGTAGCTCAAAGGGTTGAGACGACAAACACTGGAACCCGTAGCACTGCCGGTCCGGGTTCGAGTCCCGGTAGTAAGTAGCATGGTCACCCCCGGACCTTCCTTCCATTTTCCATTGAACTTCTCCCATCACTATTGTAAAAAAGTTGCTATACTACAGTAATTGTACAATAATAAAATTCAGCTCAATAAAAAAATCAATTAGATCAGTTGGGTTTTTAGCTGGGTTTGTTTTGGTTTACCTCATGTGGTGAGGGTTCTTTTAAGTGTTCAGATATGGGTTATATATCAAAGTAAGTAAAAGTAAACGGGAATTCTGCAAAAGATAATTACTTTAAGGGTGCATTTAATTAGATTAAAATGGGGTGTAAATCTTAATATTTTCTATATACTTTAAAGAAATTAAAATAACCCAAAACTAAACAGTTTTTGAGACATTTAAAGCTGAATTAAAGACTTATATAACATTAAGATGAGTAACTCTTTAGAATAACATTATAAAAACTACTTTATATAAATATATTTTATATAAAATACAATAAACTTTAACTTCTATTTAGGCATATAATTCCCTATGGTTATTTAATCCCAAAAACCCATTTGAAAACATGCAAGGTATTCATTTCCCCTTAACCTTGAACCATCATGTTGTTACCTGGCCAAAAAACTTATTTCCCTATGGGCCAGAAAACTTTAATTAGATAACCCCGGACCTCACGGAAAGTTTAAATGTGAGTAAATCAGGTCGGACCAAAACCCACTCCGATGAGTGACTGACTGACGGAATGACTAACTGACTGAAGGACTGACAGTCCTGGGGGTCTGCCCAGTTCATGGGGGCTTGGACAAGTTTAATTAGATCTGCATACGCAATGAGGAGCCGAGGGTGCCACCGGTAAGCAGGTTAACGAACCGCTGGCCACAGTTGCTCTTTGCAGGCGAAAGGATGCGCTGCCTGGGTGTCCTGGCTGGGATCTGCATATCCCTCCGATTGGCCACAGGCCTTCTAACCAACTCCAGCTCCTTTGGAACTCATCTCCCTTTGGACACTTATGAGCTGCATTTGAAGGAGCTCCTCCAGCGGATTCTGTGGGCAGCAAATGTCAAGAGATGCTTCAGTGTCATCACGGATGAGATTCACTATCCCATCTATGACAGGAGATTCTTTGAGGCAGCCGGAAGACAGGTTGTTCCCTTCTTTGCGTTAAGGATTAATGCCAGCGAGGATCTGCTGCGTCCCTCTAAACAAGTGGAGGTTATCCTGGAGGCCATCAAGGCCAGTGATTGTGAACTTAATCTGATTACCATAATTAATGGCTGGCAGGTTCAGCGATTTCTACGTTACATTTATGACAAGAGGTCCTTGGTTGCCCAGAGCAAGTTTATCCTTTTGCATGACTCCAGACTCTTTGAAAGGGATATGCTGCATTTGTGGAGTGTGTTCTTGGGCACGGTGTTCCTTAAAAGGCAATTGGATAATAGGTGAGTCACAGAGATCGATGTGAATCCAAAAAAATCCATTATTTAGAATTAATTTAATATTTATTTCAGCAGATTCATCATCTCTACAATAGCTTTTCCTGGCATTTTAAGCGGTGTTTTAGTTTTGAAAAATATTGCTAACTGGGAAACGGGTAAAAGTGTCAATGGAAGAGACCTTTTTGCAGATAAAACAAGTAACTTATATGGTAAATTAATGATTAAAACATATACCCTAAGTATTTATAATTTATATTTGCAGAAACTATGTAGTTATTCCATATAGTTCTTCCTGAAATAATAATCTAAGATCCCTTAAATCTCTCCTCCCTTCCAGGTGCCTCTCTCCCAGTGGCCATTTCGGAGCATGTCCCTATGGTCATGTGGTTAAATACCACAAATAGTTACCAAGGCGTTGAAGTGGAGATCATGAATGCCCTGGGCAAGTCTTTAAATTTCAAACCCATTTACTACAAATCAAATCAAAGTGAAAATGCGGAATGGGAGCTAGGAGAAGATGGTTATGGAAATGAATATAGTGAAAATGAGACCAGAATTGATTCCTTGCTTATAGAAGAGGTGGTGAGTATTGGATTTTTAGAAATATATTATACTTTATTAATATTTATTTGATTAATCTGCTTTCTCCTTTTCAGGCTTCCCATAATGCTCGCTTTGCCATTGGAGACTTGCATCAGTTTCAGGTGTATCTGCAATCTGTAGAGTTAAGTTTACCTCACAATTTCGATTGCTTGACCTTTCTCACACCTGAATCCTCTACGGATAACTCCTGGCAGACCTTTATCCTGCCCTTTAGTGGTGGCATGTGGGCAGGTGTCCTGCTCTCCTTATTTATAGTGGGCACTGTGTTCTATGGCATCAGTTTCTTGAATGCAATCCTTACTAGAGGTGGTTCAAAGGGTTTTTTTCGCTGCCTTAGAAGAAACCATGGGGTACCCCTTGATCCAAAGATATATCGACGTCTTAGCTTTAGGATAGCCATAGCTCGTTATCGTCCTTCTGCAGGATCTAGGAGTGCTCGTGATCTTTTTGATGATTATGCAAATTGCATACTGCTTACGTATAGTATGCTCCTCTATGTGGCCTTACCTAGAATGCCCAGGAATTGGCCATTAAGGGTTTTGACGGGTTGGTACTGGATCTACTGCATCCTCCTGGTGGCCACCTATAGGGCCAGCTTTACTGCCATTTTGGCCAATCCTGCAGCGAGGTAAGAAATTTCTTTGAAATATATATAAATATATTTTGTAATATATTTTCTGTACATTTACTTTATTTATATTTGTAGAGTTACCATCGATACCCTGGAGGATTTGCTGCACTCCCACATTCAACCCTCTGCTGGTGTCTCGGAAAATCGTCAGTTTTTCCTGGATGCCACCGATGAGGTGGCCCAAAAAGTGGGCCAGAAAATGGAGGTGATTAGCCAAATGGATGATCTGGTAAACAATATATTTAAATATATAATATATATTATATTTATTATTATTTTTATAATCATTTTCCCCTCTAAAACCACAACAAATCATTTAAAAATAATTAGGACAAGTCCGATTCATATCAGTTCTTAACAAAGATCTTAAATTACTTATCATGATATATAACTTAGTGCCGACGTTATCAAAATGTCGTAGCAATGAACTTTAAACCACAATTTAGTAAAAACAAAACCAGATTTAACTAGTTTTTTTAGAGTGTTATCATTTTTGATAAGCTTATTTGGCCACATTTTTAATTTAGAGTCATTATTTCTTTAAGCCTTCAAGGTAAACTGAGCTGATATGAAAAGTATCTAGGTTACTTAATGGATTTTATTTGTATTTTAATAAGTTGGAGAATTACAAACAGGAAATTTTATATAGAAAACATAGAAAGACAATGTAATGCATTTTATAAACAAATTTATGTAATATTTACTATATTAACCTATTGATTTTGTAAGCTTAAGCATTCACTTTTCTTATATAAATTTTAACCTTTAACTTTAAATTTAGCATTGTGTCAAACTATAATTTCCCCAGGTGTTAAAATAGCTGTGTGAAAACCAACACTTGGTTTTTATATAAACCGCATAGCCCCCTCTATTAGCCATGTAATTTATTTATTTAATTATTTATTAACCACAAAATAATGCCAATAATAATGAAAGACCCCCCAAAGACAGCACGTATAGCCAAGGGTCAGTGTGCCTACTACGACAATGAGTTCTATTTGCGATATTTACGAGTGGCTGATGATTCTGGATCTGGAATTGGATCCACTTTACATATCATGAAGGATTGTGTGGTCAATATGCCCGTAGTCCTGGCCATGGAAAAGAATTCGCCTTTAAGGAAACGAGTGGATAGCTCTATACAACACATGGCTGAGGGGGGTAAGTAATCATATAGAGAAATATATATTATAAAGATATATAATTTCCAACTTCTTAGGTCTGATAAACAAATGGCTCAAGGATGCCATACAGCGATTGCCCGCAGAGGCTCCTGCCCAACAGGAGGCACTGATGAATCTACAGAAATTCTGGAGTTCCTTTGTGGCCTTGGGCATTGGCTATATCCTCTCCATAATAATCCTTATGATAGAGAAATGGCATTATAGACATATTGTAATGAAACATCCCATGTTTGATGTCTATAATCGAAGTTTATACTATAATTTCAAGAGATTATATCCGGAACAATAAACCAAACAATTAAATTAAATTCTTTGCTTATTTTTTAGAAAATTAGGTTGAAGTACTGTCAATTCTCCAGAAGATCCTATAAAATCATAATTCCTAATATTTATAATTTGCTGGCAGCAAAAGTGACAAATGTCTCTATATAATACTCAGGGAATAACAATTGAGAAACCGAAAAGTCTTCATTGACGCACTAAGAGGCCCGGAAAAATGCTGAGCCGGAGAATCTTCCACATATATCCCCTAGACCTTGGTGCAGATGGATGGATATAGCTCCATTTATCACGAGCCCAGAGTCCAGAGTGGCCTCAAGTACCCAGTGGCAATGTGGTGAATAAATTCTAAAATTTTCAGATTCTGAATTTCTTGCCTCATCTCACTTGTGGTAAATACTGATTTGCATTGTTTATGAGTTAATGCACATTAGGCATTATTTGTTTATGGCGATATCAGAAAATCCTGGGAATAAGTTCAAATGATAAAAGCCCATAAATAAAACGGTTTTTAAGTGCCAGACTAAACCCAAACAGCCCCAAACATTTCTATATTCGTAATGAAGTTCCCCTCAAGATACATATATGTATCTGTATCTGTATCTTTTGGTTATATAGTGCGGGGCTTAGAGGGCACTTCAGAATCTGAATGGGATTGGATATATGGAAATTGATGGGGGAAAATGATGAGGTAGACAGAAAAACAGACGTGTTGCCAAACAATAAACAATCCAAAGGTTAATAACAATCATAATTATTAATAAGACATTGTTGTTGTGCTTTGAGATCTTCCCTTTTTTTATTGTTTTCGGTTTGGAAATAAAGAAAAATTCCCCTAAATGGCCTAACAGGTGATTTCAGGAAATTAAAGCCTCTTTAAAACTAAATTTCTTCAATATCTTGTGTATATTAAATATTATAAAATTTTGTATATAAAAATTTAAAGCATAAACTACTTTTTAATCAACTAAAAACAACCACAAACTATACAATCTAATGTAAATCACAACTATCCAATGATAAAAACATTTATTTATTAATTAACTATTTTTTTCTTGTCAAAAATTTAATTGCCAAAGTTTCTTGCTGACCCATCAGAATGTTGAAAATTTAATTTATATATTTATTAGTCTAAAAATGTGCACAAATATTTAATTAAATTTATTTTCGGATTCGGTGTTTTCTCCACCATGAAATTGTTTCGCTTTGTTTTGCTTGTTTTTTTATGCATACATATTAATGGTTGTTTTATTTATTTTGTTTTAGCTGGAGCTTGTTGTTTACATTTCTATTTCATATAATTTAATTAGTTTTGCCTCACTTTATTTACCTTTTTCATCCAACTCTTGCCGTAAAAGCATTCTACTCTCTCTATGTTTTTTCCTTTATATAGTAGTTGTGTATTGTGTTTTTTTATCATCCGTCATGGTTTCAGTCTGGACATCATTCAGACACGGGAATTTTCTTGTTTTTCATGTTTTCCATTTCCCAGCGGAAAAATATTTACCTGGGGGGTTGAGAGTTTTATTAAAGTTTCCTGATAGGTATTTTTTGAGTTGGTTAAAATAAAGCTTTAATTTTCTTAATACTAATTTTACGCACATTAAAAAAAAGTTAATTAAAAAACAAGGAAGAAAACTAATTTCGGGAAGATAAAGTTTAAAACCTTTTCAGTTACAAATTGAATTAAAGAATGGAATCAAAAATCAATCATAACTAAGCTTCAAATATTCGCATATTTTAAATCAATATTTATCTATATTTTTTTATGACAATTTTGTGTAAAAATAAAGTTAAAAAAACTCATAACTTAGTTAAAGATGCTTTAATTTTAATTCGGAATGCGTTCCTATGTTAGTTTTTAGTAGGTTAATAAATCTGCATACCAAATTTAATAATTTAAAAAATTAAAAATTTTATCATATTTGAAAAAAGAATGATGTAAGCCATTATCGTTTTTTGAAAAAAAAAAAAATTGAACATTTATTTTTCGATCGGACATGGCTAGATCGATTCGGCGGTTGATGCTGATCAAGAATATATATGGTTTATAGGGTCGGAAATGATTCCTTCACTGATTCTGATTGAATTTATAATACCCTTGGAAAAGGCTATAATATATAGAATTCTGAAATTCGTATTGTTTCCATACAAAACATATATTTTTATATCCATACGAAAGCCGTCTTACGTATTCATTACTCATAAACGCCTTTAAATTTATCCCAGTACGTTGAACCTGCAAAATATTTTCATTCAAAACAACAATTTTTGTTTCTTTAAATTTTTTGTTTATTTTTGTCTTCGTTTATTCTTTGTTTATCTAAAACTATTGGAGAAATAAAATAACAAGAAAATAGGACACAATACGGAAAACAATTCGTTCATCTTGCGCTCTCACGGTTTAAATACTTAAAATATACAATTTTAAAAAAATCTTTATCGACGGCTGTTAATTAGTTGTATTACTTTTAAAATAATATTTAAAACCAGGCAACTGCTCCTGGAACACCTGTTTCGTTGGACATTTTGAAATTGCTAAGAAGTCTTTATTTATATAGTATAATATATATTGTCTATTGCTTAAGCTGACTTGGGCGTTATGGAGTTAAATGTATATTGTTTAAAATACTTGCTGCTGTAAATGTTTAAAATCAAATCCATATCTATATTTATATATTAATATCCAGAGAGCAGTTGCAACATGGACACCGACACCGTTTGCCTGATACTTGAACATTTTTAGTTTGTTTTAAGGATAAATACTTTAACAATTTAGCTGGTTTAAAAGCGAATACCACATATGCTCCATTTATATAGTACTAAACTAGACATACTCAGCTAGTGTGTGTTGTTGTATGTACGTATAAAACTATATATTATACCATATCATAATAATTTGTTATGTAAGCTACACATACCTTCCTTTCATCGAGTGTTTTTGCATAAATGTACATATATAAAAACCTACAGACATGAGACTTTATGAGTAACTTCTTCTCTGCAGAATCCTAGGATAGGTTTTGGGTCTGTTAATGAACGCATTACACTTTAGATTCCAATTACAAAATCAATTCAATTCCTTTTTGGTCAGCAATTCTTAAAATAATATTGTTTGTTCAGCACAAACCCTTTACTAAACCTAGGACACATTTGAGTATTTTTTCCTCATCGTTTGCACCCTAACCGACAATGATAGAAGCTGTTTTTAAAAAATATAATCAATTTAAAATTAGTTGTGTTCACAAGAAAACTTCCCAAAGCTTTGAAAAACATTTTTCTGTTATTCTTTGATTTTTGTTAGTTGACTTTAGCGAGTATAGAGCTCATCTATGGCTTTTTGTGGACAGATCAGAAGTGAGTAACTCTTGTTCACTTTGCATATATTCCGTTTATTACGATTATTCGATGATTTTCGGTACTTCAAATTATAAATAAATAATTCGAACAAGCCGAAAAGGGGGATAATAATGCCAGCTTTTAAGTCTAGTAATGAAGCTTGATTAACTCGGGGAAGGTTATGCCTATATCGCTTCATCATTGATTGCTAAGAAATACAATATGTTGTACATATATATATATATGTATATATAGTATATATAGTTATGTATCGAATTTATATATATCACTGTTGCTGGTTTGTGTGTTTCATTTCATTTTCTGTTGGCCCACTTACTGGGCTGCTGCTTCGCCGGATTCCGCTTCAAAAACATCATCAGACTCCTGGCCCACATAGTCATCGTCATGCTCCACATCCACATCCTCCTCCTCATCCACTTCCTCGTTCTCATCATAGTCATCGGGATATTCACCAAATTCGGAGGACTCACCAAGCGTCCAGGCGTCGTTTTCCACGGAGTTTCGCGGGCTGTAGCTCACGCCGCCGCTCGTAATGGTCAGATTGTTGGCCGGACGCAGCACACTGTGTGTGAAAAAACATCAATTAGTATATTTTATATCATTTAAAGCATGCAGTATATTCATATTTCTATATGCAAACAATTTAGATGTATATGAATGTGAGGTACTTTCACTCGAGAGTACTCATCTAGCGATTTCTAAGGAAGCTTTTAAATTGGTGTCTATGTGTTAGCTGGGCTGTCTACTGACTTGGCTAATGTGGGGTTAAGTGGTTAGGTTGGTTAGAATGTGATGTCGGTTAGGCTTTAAACAGGACAAACATTTGAACACTTTACAAAAAACCATTTTTTAGGAATTATTATATTAGTCAACAAAGTAGATACTTATGTATGTTTTATGCTTGGTTAAATTAGAGGGTTGCATCAATTTTGAAGAAGTAACAAAGTAATTTTGTAAACTTTAAATGAAAAAACGCTTGCGTTTTGATTTATGGGAAATTGTATAAGGGTTTTTAACAATGGATTGGCTAGGGAGTGGTATGAAAACTCTTATTTGGGTCTTTTAGATCCCCAAATTTATTAAAAACATAAAGTTATAAGTTAGTTGGAATAACATTTAACACATATATAGAACTTTTCTATCATCCCATCAATAGTTTAAACAAGTCTTAAACGATGGCTTCATACAACACCTTTCAATCAATGATTAAATCCCCATATTAACAATTTCCCTAATGATCTGCCAATGTTTATGAGTTAATATATATGTATATATATCGATCGATGCAGTTAGTATTGCAATCTTTGAGAGCATTTCACGGCGCGCACTCATTGCTTAGCCAAACAAAATCAAATGAAGCCGCACACGCAAGACAAATGAACTAACAAACTGACGAACGAACGAACAAATTGGTCGAGACAATTGCACAACGGCGAAACGAAGAACAAAATGATTGATATTTATGCATATAACAACGTTCAATAGTATTTACTACAACTGAGAGAATTTTCTATTACATTGGCATTCGGATCATCGGCTGGCTTTGGCTTGGCTCTCGTTGTATATTTCTTTTGTTTAGTTGTCGTGTTGCATCGGAAAATCGTAAATATATATACTATTTTTGTGGATACTATCCAAGATAGATCCATTTTTCAAATTGATCGTTGTTCGATTGGATTCGATTCGATTCGGCGATTGTAACTGGCACTAGAATTTGATTATAGTGATACAATCTGCTGCTGACGCTGCTGCTGCTTGCACCGTGTTTGGATCGCGTGGCATGTGGAAAGTATTTGGTTTTCTTTTTTTTTCGGTTTCGTGGAAAGATAATCGACTGAATGTTTAGGTTGTGTAGAGGTTGAATGGCTCAGAAATCGGTAACTAGCACACCATCCGTTGGTCATAACTGTCCACGGCGGTAGTGGGATCGTGATGGTCTACCGATTGTTATTGTTGGTGGAGTGTTGGTGTGTTTCGTGGTGTATTGGTGTATATATTTTTTTTTTGGGTGTACAGAAATTAAAGAGAAGAAATCAATTAGCAAAATTATAAGTACAAGAATGCTGGATATCAATTACGACTTAGTTCCTATACATCCGATTTAGTTGAGCGGTGTTAGCTTACAACTCGCTTCTTAGCCACTACTTAAGAGTTAAAATCAAGAAAGGAAAAAATCAAGAGCTTCATCTAGGAGTGAGTCATGAGAGATAGTTGGATTATAGCGAATATATATATGTCTATATCCAGAACAACGCACCTTTACCGCTAGCCGCGAAATTACCCATAACCTTAAGCTAATAATAAAAAAGAACCAAAATTAAAGGTTACAAATCAAGTTCACATAATTGAAAATATATATGTATACTCTATATTGTAAATCATTTAAAACTCACTTCAAAAATATTACTCTAAGTTTCCTAAATGAAGAGCTAAGCTTTGCGTTTATATACCACATATATATTATATATAGCCACAAATATACATTAAGATTAAATTAATTATTTAATAAAGTGTGGGATCTAGCTAAGCTTCGTTCTTGAAAAAACTAGCTGCTAGCCTTACTCTTTAAATATAAAATATATTTTCTGTATTTATTTATACCTTTCTAGTTGAATTCTTGAATTGAAAATAGTAATGATCTGCCAAAAATAGTAAAGAGTTTTTTATTTGAAATGAAAAATAGAAACAGGAGGTCTTTAAGTTTTGGATTGGGTCTTAACTAGGGATTTATATCAAGAGGATTTATATCAATATGATATATCGCTTAATATTATAAAGAATATATCAAAAATTGATCTATAAAAAAAATATCTAACAAAATTACCTATCAACTAGTGATCTATTTATCTCTGATCCTCTATTAAAATTGTTACAAACTTTATAAATAGTAACCTAAAAGAGAGACCTATCTACCAAAGGATCTTGCTATACACACAAAACCCAAAGACCATTTAATTTACCTCTCGAAAGGCACTTCCTCATCGGCCATATCGTTCATCTGTCGCTGAGCCTGGTTGGTTTGGGCACGACGGGCCTCCTCCTTCTTGCGTCGATCCTCGGCGGCCGCCTTCATGGGATCATAGGTCGAGCGTCTCTTCCACATGGCCATTTCGGCTTCCTTTTGTTTGTTAACTGTAAAAGGAAAAGAAATATATAATAAAAATATAAAGATATGCATGTATTTCCAACCTGAGAGATCACGTCGCACGGCAGAAGAGGCTCTTCCTCCGGTAGTGCCACCACCCAACGATGTAGTGCTGGTATTCATGGCAGAGGCTGCACTTCGCACACTCCGATTGCTAGCTCGCGTTCCCTCGCCACGACTGAGACCCATGGAGGAGGCACTGGGACTGCGTTTCATTTGATCTGCCGGCTTCAAGGTGCTCTTGGAATCGTTCTTTCGCAGAAAGTTATTCGACTGCGCTGACTTGTACTTGGAGATGTCTAGATATTTCGGCTGCACACGCTGACCTCCGCCAGGATTGGAGTTGACACCAGCATTGGCCGTTTGCAGTAGCTGCTTTTTGGCATTGGCCAGCGAACTGGGCACCTGTTGGGCCAATCGACTAAGACTCGTTTCCCTGGGCATAGACTGGCGAGTGTTCCGAGTGCCACCGGATCCTGGCGCTGCCCTAGGCGCACTTTTTATACCCCGGCGTGGCATCTCCGGCGTATTGGGACAGGCCACCAGACCAGCGCCACTTTGTGCAACGCTCAGCTTGCCAGCAGCTGGCGCTGAAGTGGGTTTTACTGGTGCCTGTGATCCTCCGCCGGCTACGCGTTGCTTGCTCCTCTCTATCCGCATCAGCAGGGCCTTGTTCATGCGTGTGTTGCTCAGCGGCACCGATCCTTGTGTTCCTTCGTGTTCCTGTTCCATGTCCTCCTCCTCATTGCTGGAGTAGTAGGCCCCAGTGGTGCCCATTTCATCCTCATCGTTGATGTAGTACTGCAACTCATTGTCGTAGTCGCTGTAGGCCTGCTCAAAGTTATTGCTGCTGGCGGATTTCTTCAACTGCTGCTGCTGGTGGGCGGTGCTCAGGGCGCGAGCATGTCGGGCAGCGGGCGGTGTGTAGAGGTTCTGGAAATTGGGTCGAGCCTGCCGCACTGGATGTTGTCCCTGCTGCTGCTGCTGATGCTGTTGGAAGCTGGTCGAACGACGCAGCGGCGACAAGGGGCTGGCAGGGGCAACAGGCTCATCCTGCTCCACCTCCTGGCCAGGATCATACTCCAGGGAGTTCTTGCGGCGACGCAACTGCTTGAGGAGATACTCTCCACTGGTTAGCAACTGCAACTGCGCCTCATTGATGCTGCTGGTCATGAGGGCTCGATGGAGCGGCGATCGCCTGTAGCCACCGCCTGCTCCCGCTCCCATCATGCCCGATTCCAGGCTATGCTGTGGACTGCTCTGTGCCGGTGACTTGACCGAACTCCTGCGGGAGAGTGACTGCTGCAGGTTGCTTATAGCGGCAGCTGTTTGCTCCAAATACGCATCCGTTGGCGGCCGCGAGCGACTGGCACTGCGCGCACGTCCCAGCGTGTGCAGCGGTGAGGGTATCTTGCTGGGGCTCTTGGGTGGCTTATATGGTGGCTCCATCGCGCCCTGACCGCCATGGCTGCACAACGCCGGATCGCTGGCGTAGTCACAGTCACCCAGCAGGCGATAACGCTCGGCCAAGTTACGATTGAGCTTGGCGGCTGCGGCATATTGACGCTGCTGTTGCTGGTTATACAGGCTGAGGCTGTCGTCCGTCAAGGAGTCGCCTCCGGTGTCCGAGCAATTGTAGCTGCGTGTCATTAGTTGCTAGAAAAGGGTAAAAATTAAAGGAATTAGATGGTTTTAAATTTGTAAAACCCAAGTATATGGGAATTTTGGTTGAAAATATATCAAATTATATTTGAAAAATATTTTTATATTGTAACATTTAATTATAAAATAACTATTTATATTTTAAAGCAATTTTTAAGACTTTCTAGAGAGCCCATAAAAGCGTGCTACTGATTTAGTCTTTTCCCCTAAGCATGGGTTTGCGTCTGCACTAAGTTGTAGAGTTTTTACATCTTGATGTAAAATCCATGTACAAAAAATGACATTTAAGAGGAAATTTATGTTTGTTTTTAAAAAATACAATTAAAATTATTTCTGCAAGGTGTTTACTTGCTTTAAATTCAGAATAAATTAAAGATATATTACAAAATCAATAAAACTCGAATTAAACAATTTATAGTGTAAAATACGGCCAAAATAATGAGCTTAAACTTTAGTTTGTTTGCCAAAAATTATTGCCAGACTAAAAACGATGATGAGTCATTATATATGCTATCTAATCTCTTAACTTGTTAAGACCATGCCACTCAACAAATAAATAAATAGGTAAATACAATCTACGTTAAGATGATCAAATTATTAAGCAAACATTTCATTTAAAATAAATTAAAGTTACAAATACGTATTCCTCTCATTCCCAAAGCTACTCATAATGATTATATGGTGAGTCACCAAGCAAATGGGATTTTTCCATTTATGTAAATCCAAATTTACTCATCTTCCCGTTTCGAAACTGGTTCTGGAGCTCACCTGTGCTTGGGCCTGCTGCTGTTGCTGCTGCTTCCGGCGACTGGCACTGGTTCCACTCACATCCTGGGCCAGACTACGGGCTCGAGCATTACGTGCCCATTCCTGGATCCAATCCTGCTTGGTCTGCGCCGTCTGCAGCAGAGCAGCCTCTGATCCCTGAGATGTGCTTGTGGGCGTTGTGGGTGTCTCTGGTAACTGATGATGATGATGATGATGCTGCTGTTGCTGATTGGTACTGGTGGTGAACACATTCAGGCGATATTCGGCCTTCTGGCGATCTGTGGCCGAACCAGCCAATGCCTGGGTATGCCTTAACTTGGCCTCATTGCTCACATACTCGGAGCTATCGATCTGCGAGGTGGACAGACTGTGCGAGTGCCGGGTGAGCTTGGGATGTGTGTCCAGGGCACGCTGTTTGGCCAGCACACCACTGGTGGTGACACTGGTAAAGCAACCCACATCCGCTGCCGGCGATGGGGGAGTGGGAGGTGATAGAGGAGCCGGCTGGCGGAGCACGCGACTCTTTAGTTGATCCAAATAGGCACCTGTGATAGGAATATAGGTTATTAATATCTTTCTTATTAGTTCTTATACAAATTCTCACCTGTGGAGCTTCTTTGAGCTGGTGGCAGTTGCTCCTGTAGCGGCGTTTCATGGTAGAAGTTTACCTCTAAGACATTGCTACCCCGATTCGCCTTGACCGGCAATTGTTTTGGCCGCATCTTGACAGCAGCACCTCCTCCACCTCCTCCTATCTTCTTTCCATTCCTATCAATGTTCATGAGATCCTTTTGCTCTTCCGTATAGTTGTCCCCGTCGAGGGTGTATGTTCCCGCTTCGCTCACTGCATCATCTGCTAGATTTTTGCCATCCGCTAGCGGTGGCTCTGGACACAGCATCTCCACCTGGCGCAGGGCCAGCTGCATGGCCGTGGAGCGTGGTGTGAACTGATTGGTCGTACGATTGGCCAGCGAGTTGGATGTACCCTTGGTGGATGCCGGTGGCGCTGGCAGTTTGGATCTACTAGCGGGTCTTGGTGCCGCTGTCTGCGCTGATTCTGCTGCATTCGCCGAGCTCCTTGGCGACCAACTGTGCCGCTTGGAGGCATCTCTCACACGAGACGCACTGCGATCTCTCACCCGCATCTTCACCTGGACCGGTGGCGCTTGTTCGCTGGATGGTGTGGCCGCTGTCATTGAGGATATATCATCTGCCATGCTACTTCCGGCATCCAAGCTGCTTCGCTGTGAGTGTCGTCCACTGTTTGAGGTTGTGGTGGTGGCGGTGTTGTTGTTATCCCTCTCCGTCTCCAGCTTTGACATGGAGGCACCCCGTTTGTGACGATTCTGGAAGCGCTCCATCATATTCTTGTAGCGCGCCGCCTGAGCCGCTGCATCGTTCTCCGTGGCATCGTCAAAGTGGTCAATGGTGAAGGCCAGAGATGCTTTCGTGGTAGCATTCGATCCGCTCGAGTTCTCCTCCTCATCGGGAGCTGACTTTGAGGAGTTGCCAAGTTGTTGCCGGTGTTGCTGGTTGGCTCTGCTATGTGCCGCCGCTGCTGCAAAAGCAAGAGAGCAGACACACAATTAAATTAGCATTTATTTACAGTTATTATTATAACATTTATTATTAGCGTTTATGCGGTGAAAACGAAACTAAGTTGCTGGCGTAAATTAAACTAAACTCGCCAGAGCAACACAATTCAAGTGGCGGGCAGGCGAGGAACATTACAAAAAAGAGAGATGCAAGAAAGTTGCAATAGAATAGTGGAGAAAGATACAGGAACGGCTCTAGATAGTTAGAGGGTATTTTACCCAAGAAGAAGCTTAATTTAATTAATTTTTAAAATATTTATTTGTTTATAAATGTATTTATTTATTTGTTGACTTATATATGTTTGACTATAAGTGCTAAATTGTTTAAAAAATAATATATTCTAATGTTAAATCTAATAATATATAATATAATATAATAATAATATATATATCCAATAAATAAATTGCTTAAAAAATAATATATGCTAATGTTAAATCTAATAATTACTCTATAAAGTATTCCCTCTTTCTCTTTCTCTAGCTATCCCTCTCTCTTTCTCCCTCTCCCTTATTCGGTATGCCTACCTCCATCTGGCTAGCTCTAGAGATACCCCTTACTCTCGCTCTCTCGCTCTGGCTAGCTCTAGAGGTGCCTCTTTCTCTCTAACTCTCTCTGCCTTTCTCTAGAGGAATGCATTCCACTCTCGCTCTCTCACACTCTCTATTCTCTTGGCTCGGGGACTATAAATAGAGGCGCTGCAGTCGGCGCCGCCCCTTAGTCAGTGCGCAACCCCCCACCTGTTAACATCGAAGAGTGATAGTGGCAGTGATAGTGATTACCATTCGACCCCAAATATATCAACTGACGTGTACAATAAATCTTTATGACCAAGAAGAAGCGCCTAATTGGACTCATCAAGAATTTAACTCTTCACTGGAAGGAGAACTACTGGGGTAAGTCTTGACCATGACAATTATATATTGTATATAGATAATATAGAAGCGATCAGTCCTAACTAAGCTATTATTTATCTATTGATTCCCTTATTGTTATGGACCATATAACATTGATATAATTTTGTGTATATACGAAAGATGTTTATGAAATAATAGAAAACCGAATTATACAAATTTATTTATCGCATTAATCTAAAATGTTCTTAAACAAGTTTTGGGAAACATTAAAAGCCTTTTAAAGTCTACTCCAAAAACTAATAGATTAACACCATTTTCAGACCTAAAAAAAAACAAATTTAAACTATATACGTTATATAGCTCCCTGAAACAATGATACCCCAGCTTTTTATCTATCTACACATATTCAAGGGCCCCCCAGTTTAACGCCCACCTGCATCTAGATCAGATCCCTCACCGCTTCCGCTAACAATTTCTATACGTTTCCGTGGCCAAGCAAAAGAAAATCAAACAATTTGCTTTCCAAGCTTTGCCACGCGAAGTGGCACACACAAAGACATTGTACTATAGAGCGGGAGGAGGTGGAACCATATAGGGGTCCGGGTCTCAGAATCGTGATCTATGGATGGGTAGAGCTTCCACACGTACATACTATATAAGGCAATCGGTCGACTGGCTTTTGCCCGGCAAGTGAAGGTTAGAGTTCGCTGATTTCGGTCAATTGCAGGTTTTTATTTTGCCAAGTGGAATGAATGGATGGTCGAATTTGGGGATGGGTTCCAAGGGGCCACAAAAAAACTTTTACGCTCTAACAAACTTCCCGTTTGGTTTCCAATGAAAACATATATATGTACATATATATCTCAAATTACTTGAATCCATATTTAGCATAGATTTCGCAGTCAGTATTTTCAACAAGTTTTTGGTCACGAACCAAAAAATATTGAAATTGGCAAACCAAACATTATAATCAATATTCGAATGGGTAATTAAATTAAGAGTCAAGGTGACAAATTATAGATAAAGTATATAAATAGGAAAGATAAAACCGTAGTAAAGATATCACTTAATAGTTAGGAAAGCGGTATATAATAATTATACATCATATCTAGTATGAGATTAATGAAGAATTAAATGATTATATATTTAATGATGTGCGTTTAGTTCAACGTTTTGGAAAATTATTGTATTTAAGCCCAATGATTATTTATAATGAGTACTTGGAAAAACAGTTCCGCATTAAGCTTAATCATTTTTGATAAGCGTAAATTAAGTTATTACTGTAATTGTATCTTAGATGAGATTATCAAATTTCAACCTCAAATGCAGTTGAAGCTATCTTATAGGAAGCTTGAAAGGGTGCTAAAAATAATGTTTATATTTTCTTTGTTCTCAGTTTTCTTATAAACAAATGTGGGAACCTTAAGCTCACATATCCCAGATAACTTGTTTATTTATAGGAGTTAATTGTTTATTATTATTATTTATTGCCTAAGAAAACACAATGCAAAATGTAGGCTTTGTTTACATATTTCTTATAAACTTATATAGACGATAACTTGAATTTGCTTATTTAAATTCTTCCATAATTTGTACAGAATTTCCTAATCTTATTTATGGCCCAACTAGACCATAAATCGTTAAGAAATAATAAAATTTTCTGCCAATTTCTTACTTTAATGTATTTACAGGAAGTTCCAACTTGGCTTGAATCTAGAACGACATTATTCGGTTGTCGGTTTTGCTAAAAATGAATTTTCAATCCAATTTGGCAGGAAATATTTCCCCCCACCACCCCCTTCCACGGTGCGAGGTAATCACCGATAGACAATGGACCACAATAGGTAACGACTAACGGTAATTACGCTGCCCACTGTGCATGGCCATAAAATGTCTTCTATCGAGTTATCGTAGAAAATGCTCCCCGCCAGCTTTCAGCTTTCCGCCAAGTGAACCACCGAAGCAACAATTGAAAACTGTTGGCACAACGCACAATTGTTGGGCTTTGGTATTGCCATTATTAATATTATTATTGCCATTGCCGGTTGTCGAGTGGTTTGCTACAAAAAAAAATATGGTCTTTTGTTGGGCTTTATTATTTAGACGCTTTTACTTTTCGAAATAAATAAAAGACAAAATGTTGTCCGAGTGCCATATACAGTAGCGGTCAAAGGAATAGTAAACCAACTCTTTTTGTGACATTTTGTTTATTTAAAAATTATCTTAAAAGTAGTTTTCATCAAGAAAAAAATAAACACAAAAATCTGTTAAGAAAACATGGATAAAAATTGCCTAGAAAGTTATATATTAAAATATTTTGTATATCGAAAGTTCAAGTATCAAAAATAATCTCATTTAATATTAAAATATTTATATTATGGGGGAAAAAGTATCAAAATAATTGTATAAAATGTATTTATACTTTATCACCTAATATATTAACCTTTTTATATACATTTCCAGTAATGATAATGATAAATTAACCAGTTTTAGACAGTTGCGTGTTATACAACTATAAATCTGAGCCCCACTGTATATATTAAATAGAAAACTATATATTTTTTCTCTGTCGGTCACCTTAACTACCTTTGTTTCTATATGAGAAAGTCGAGCAGGGGAAAATTGTGTGACCGCCTGGTGATTTTCGATCGTTTGCTTTTCACTCGCCATAATTTCGAGTGTTAACAAATTTTGTTGGCCAATAATATGTACCTACAAATGTGCAGTGTGAGATAATCGGTGCGAATGCAAAGCGGAAATCTATAAGCAATTCTCTCACGCTGACCACAGGTCCCCCAATTGGTTTCCAATTGGGTTTTGCTAATTGCATTATGAGCTTACGTCATCGCCGATCAATCAGACATAACAAAGTTTTGGGTTTCCTTTCGGTTGTGTTGCTTTTGCTTCGAATTTGTTGCCTTTCCGTCGAGGTCAACTTCTCGCATTTAAATAAATGTTATTAACAATTTATTTATATTTCTTTTTTTGCACTCGGCGACACCAGAGAAAGCCATCGGTGATCATCATCATCTGTCAGGCGGTGAATGAGGTCATCGACTGGTGGCCATTTGTTGTGCGCCTTGTTATCGCCGATTGTTTGGCTTATATGGGATATTTCATTATATATAAACACACTCTTCAGATCGAGTTGAAGAGGAAAATGGTTGGGAAGTAGTTCATTGAGATTTTCAGAAAAAACAATCATCAATTTTTGTTACTAATTGCTCACCAAAGAGAGAGAGTGATCATTGCTAAAAATAACCGATATAATCATTATTGATCGCTAAAATCTTATTTTTGTACAAACAATTTAGTTCTATTTTGTGACAGCTAAGAAATTCTTTAAATATTTAAATTTTTGTTGATGGCAAGAATGTAATAATTCAACCAATTAAGCTTGCCCCAACATTATCAATTTGGGAACAAGGCCAAAACCAAACAGATTTGTTCCGATTTCTTTAGCTTGATTCTTTGGGTGTCGGCCAAGAATTAATGCCTCACATTTATATTGGATAGATATGTTTTTAAGAGGTAAAGAAACTATAAGGAATTCAAATTGATTCTAGAAGGGAAAGTTGCACGTGACTAGAGTTGAAATAAGTCAAGACATTTCCAAAAACTTTTAGAGTATCAAGTGGTTATTTGAATTTGAAAATTCTTACATTTAAAGGAATGTTTTTTAAGAAAACCATTACCCACAGATAAGTTTAAAGATAAATCCCAAAACTCACTTAAAACTGAGTCACTTTCAGATATTTATAACAATATAAAGGGTGACATAATGGATTCAAAACATTCCCAGGCCTCCAGCCCCTTGATTACCTCTCTCCCATCAAGTGCGACAATTTGTTTTTCATAAATCTCCCCCATTTCCCAATGTTTATCAATTTTGATTTCATTCGTTAGCTTGCCAAATCTTACACAATTATAGCCGGTTGTCGGTCGTGTCATTATCTCACACATTTTCATTCCCTGCACGCAATTCAAACAACAAACAAAAAAAGTGAAACAGATTTGTGACCAAGTGAAGTGGTGACTCAGCACCAGCTGCGATTGTTGCTCAATCCAAGGCTACTACGATCCGATCCAGACTATATCTGTATATGCCAATATTAAGCAGAAATATTTAATTGAAAACAGCAAAAGGAACAAATGCAGGCGTAAATCTTTCAATGAAAACGTAAACAGATCTGGGGGAAAAGCAATCTGCTATATATTCGCAACGACATGGTTTTCTTATATACATAATTTTAATCTATATAAAAGTTGCTTGCCTCAACAGATGTCTTGTTTAAACAATAAGGCTTATAAGGCTTTGTATCTTTTCTAAGAAAAGCAGAAAGGTTTTCAAGTGTTCTTAAATATGTTTTTTAAAATTTTTGATCTAATGTCCATTGTGTTTTATTTTTCTATTCAAACCAATCTAAATTCTCGATTTCTGTGTCTTGTAAACATTAAACTTTTGCCTAATAAACATTGTAAAAAAATCGAATTTGGATTTCACTTAGTTAATGGTGTTTTCTTGGCTCGCTCTCAATCTGATACATAAATCTATCAATCTAAAATTTAAGTATGTGAAACAACCATAAATTTAGTTAAAGAAAAATAAACAGGGGAGAATCTTGCTAAATTTAAAAACATCAATATTTGCCTGAGATTTTTAAATGTTTTCCTAGCTGCCAGAGTTTCCAAAGTAAAGAGAAAAACTTTAGTTAGGAAGTTCTTTCATCAAAGACTCCATTATCTTAGTTTAATCAGGAATTAAATCAATTTAGCAAACTTCTTGTGGTGAAAACACAAAGCCACTTCTTAGTTTGGTGTCACAGAGCCATAAAAATATATAAAATACGCTTAAGCTGATGTCACTTGTCGCTTTTGCGGGCTATTGATCCCGTTCCACTTTCTTCTCGGAACCAGAATCAAGAACTTGCTTTTCAACCGGCTTCGGCCCACTGTGCACATACAAACAACAACATAAACGAGGTGTGTTTTATACCTCTGTGTGTGTGTGTGTGTGTGTGTGTTTGCCAGGCATGACTATTGCAATAAATATTTGCGCTTAGTCGTGGCCAGAGACTCGCACAAAATAACTTCATTAAAAATTCAAATGAATAATAAAAAAAAGCAAAACAGCAAAAGACAAGCCTCACTCAACCTGGAACAACAAAAGCCGGAGCAACAAAAATTGTGGCTAAATTAGCCATCAATTGTCGCCGATGTTGGTTGGTTGGTTGCGGTTTCAGTTTACTAATGTTTATATATATTTATACCCTTCCTCAACATGGCTCTTTCTTGACTTTATAAGACATTTTATTAAGAAACCCATACTATCTTTTCTATTTACTATAATAATATATTTAAATATGATGATATCCTTGTACGTTTTATCCAACTTTTTGTATGTTAAAATTATCATAGTATTTTATATCCTATTAATTATTATTTTAAGCCAAAAACATTATATGTTAATGGCAAAAACAGATAAACTAAGCTAGGTGAGAATGGAAAATAGCGTAATGCCAACTTTAATTGTTGAAAACCAACACCAAATAATGTGTGATAAATTTACCTATTTAAAAAAGAACTTCCCGGGTTATTATAATTATAAATATAATTATATAAAAAGCCTTAAAGACTCACCTTTTTCGGCCGGCGATGGTGGCGGCTTTCCAAGGCAAAACTTGCCGCTGGACTCATCGATGGCTGCTCCGAGGCCTACATAGCCGGGATTTGCTGTTGGATTCCTGAGCTGGACGTGACGGGGTGACAAGGAGACCGGCGAAATGGCCGGATTGGAGCCATCCGGACTGTCAATGATTTCCGCAATTTTCTTGAGGTTCTCCGGCGTTGTATCGGCCTTTTCCCGGCCATCGCTGCTGTTGCCATCTTCGTCGGGATACACCCTTCGTCCGATGGATAGGCTGTCCCCGCTCTTGGCCTTGGATGAATCAGATGCTGTGACCATGTCCCCAACAGCTGGCAGGGAGGCGTTGCCTGGTGTAGTTGTTGCTGCTCCTGCACCCACTGGTGCTTCGCCAGCTGATGTGGCAGTTGCTGTTGTTGTTGTTGTTGTTGTTGCTGGTGGTGCTGCTGCCGCGGTAGTTGTGTCATTTGCGTATGATGTCATCTTAAGCCTTTTGGTTGGTATAAATTTTGCAACAAATCGGAGTGTTTTGTTGTTGTTGTTGTGCTAGGAAGGTACACCTACTTTCGCCGCTTTTCTATGCCTATTTAGCTAATTAATTAGCGAGTCATTTCCACACGTTTTTCCGGCCTTCGTTGCGTGCTGTCTATCTACTGCCTTTTTTTACTACGCTTTCCACATTCTGCTGCGCTTTAAGGCTTGCGTTGTTTTTTGTGCGTAAAGTCAGTTCCTTTTGCCTTGCTTCTTACCTGGCGAACGAAAGTTGCAGTTAATTAGCATTTATTGGTGCCTCATTCAAAAGACAACTATTATTTTGACCGCAATTGTGAAGAACACTATTCTTTTCGGTTTAAGAATGCGTGATCACGCCCCGAATGTAAATGGGAAATGCAGACGACACACGTTGACGGAGGGAAATGACCAAGGTGTATTTCCAATTGCGCGACGAGAGTTTTCCGATTGGACACTTGAAAATCTATTCAGGCATTTCCACACGCGTAAAAATAGACGAAAGACAGAAGGAAAAGCGATTCTCGGTTGCCTTTTCAAGGTTGCTTTTGTTGTGCTTGAAAGAAAAACCTAATCGGATATTTTATTTTTACATTGAACACTTTTGGAGGCGCTCACACACACACCGACACACACGTAAGCACGCACCCGAAAACACAGACACTTGAGGGGCCAACACATACACACTTTCAAGGGCAGGGTCCGCTCGGACTTTTCACTTGCACTTCCCGCTTGCTTTTCACAATTATCCGTGTTGTTCTAGCTGGATTTGATAATGAACTTTTCTTTATCTCCGCCTCGGTTTTTCCGATTCACGACACGCGCTTGCTTTCAGCCACAACGCTTACTCACGGCAATATTCAGGTAAAGAATGAACCTGCAGGTGTGCGTATGTGTTGGCCAAAAGTGACTTTGGTAAAAGAGAGAGAGAGAGAGAGAGCAAGGGGTGGTGAGCACGCGACAACAATGGAGAGAGAGCAGTGTTGGCAACCAAAATAGCCAAATCTGGCTAATTATTCATTTAACAAGGCAAACTAAATTAAAATAAAGACTTGAAGCTTCCGGAAACTAAGTATCTATACCTTTTTTTGTATTACTTTTTACCGGTCTTTCTTAAAATTAAATTTTAAATAACAAAAAACTGCTAAGGCTTAACCAAACCAAATATTATTATTATTTTAGTTTGGCTAAAAACTAGCCAATTGGCTAACATTGCATAGATTGAGCAAGAGAGCAGAGCAAACAGCTGGGAGTAGGGTTGCCATACTCCAATCGGAATGGAAATATACCTTTACTTTATTTGGAAAAAATAATGGTCATTTATAGTTTAAACGAACTGTTTCTTAATTTTTAATATCTTATAGCCACTACAGTTTGTATTCTATGATTTTAACGCAGTCAGAAACCATTTCACGACCAAAACGTTTACGTGGTGGCAGCTCTAATTGGTTCTCTCTCTCCCCATCTATGTTCTTTTTTCGCGCTCTTTTCATTGATTGTTTTGGCCAAAAACTAATTAAATCATTTAAATAACACCACTGAGCACAGAAAAAAAACATCAACAATACGGATAAATTAACAAAAGAAGCTCTCTTTGCGGATTCACACATCACTGAACAGCAAATACCCCAGGCGGTGCACCCGACAGGTGGCCTTCAAATATCGACGCTAAAGCTATTTTTGGATCCAAACACTTGCGATCACTCTCGCTTTTCTTGCGTGTACAGGTGTAGGATAAGTTGAAGTAACTTTAACTTGAGGAATTTAAATACTTCACAATAGAAACAATAACAATTGCCGCGCAAGTGATAACGGGAGAGAACTCTCGGTCAACACACACAATGCGCATTCTCTCTTTCCGCCTTCCTCCCTCAGCCAGTATTTTGTATTGGCATTTTTTCATTTTCTTTTGTGCACTTGTTTGTCGTTTGCTATTCAGACTTTAATTTTCACTTTTTGGCTTTATTTCATTGTAATTTGGGCTTTCTACACTTCACTCTATGTTTTATATACACTTGCCAACTATAATTGGCATGAATAAGGCTTATTTACTCGGTGAACGAAGCAAGAAACGAACGCGCCAGGAACTTGCAAACTTTTTTTCTTTTGTTGTGCCAATCAAACTAGAGGTGGAATAAAAGCTGCCAAAACATCGACGGCTCTATCGATTGCTTTTTGACTATCGCTTTGATATGAATTATGATTCTGAAAACTATCGAAAGCTTTGCGCCTCATGACAAAATATTCAATAATAATTAAATTAATTTAATATTTTGTTAAAAATAAGAAAACTTTCAGAATCTAACATGGCTCGGCTATTTATGTTGACCTAAAAATTATATGAACATCTATGCTATAAGAATCAAACAAAAATGTTATATATATAAATTTATAATATTTATATTTGAATAAATATATTTATAAAACTATTAAAAAAAATAATAATAATAATGTATAGCTTCCCTTCCTTTTCAAACTATATAAATAATATGAAGCTTTCTTTAAAACTGTTTTTATTCAAACTGTTTTTTATTTTTTATACATTAATATATTGTATAGATTATGTAGCTAGGCATGTGTTGTATATGGTTGGAGGGCATCATGATGCCAATCTTGTCTTCCCAGAAAAACTTACAGAACTAATAAAAATAAGAACGTAAACATTCATTCAGACTGCGAAGCAATGGTGACATTTGGCTGTTGATTAGCATATATCTAAATATATAAATATACGTATATATTAAATATAAATCCGCCAAGACTGTACACAAACTGATAAAACTGGGACAAGTGTAAACGGAATACTCTGGGAATGCATTTAAAACTGGCGATAAACTAACGTCCATTCCAGTGGCCTACGTGTCCATTTTCGAAGGCCAGGTTTATCCTGGGATGTGGCAACGGTCGGCTCGCCTGCAGGACCTGCCTCGCTGGGTCGTCCTCGTAATACAAGCACTGACGTACAAATTCCAGAAAGAGTGCCTGCGCCTGGCCAGCCGCAATGGGCAATGCCTCCAAATTGGAGTCACTGCAGAGTCCCTGGACCAGCTGCTCGCATATGCGCGTATTGGTGTCGACATCAAAGAGCGGCACCCCAAAACTGACGTCCAACAGGGTCCACTCCTCTGTGGCATCGTCATCCTCCTCCATCGTTGTGGAAAGCAGCTCCTCGGATGGTGTCGTCTCCAGCGGTATCTCAACGGAACTCTGCGATATCAGATCCGCTCGGCTGCATTTCGCCAACTCACTGGCCAGCACTTGACTGCAATCCGGTGAGGTGAACTCGTTAGCAGGACCATGCTCTGGAGTAGCCGCAAAATGGTTTTCATCCGGGCTCTTCAATTGAAAGTTGGTAACCACCTCGGTGTTTGGCACATTAGTCATCAAATTGCCGGCGGGCGCCGTTATTGACGAACGCTTTGGGCGCTGTGTTGGCTTCAAGCGAACCTGCAGCTCGTACTCCTCGCATCCAAGATCCGGAACGCCCGTGTTTAGGAATGTTATGTAGCCGCACTGTTGACGCAAGTCCAAAAGACTGGCCAACTTCTGTACGGCTCGATGGGCGGACCATTTGGCCTGGCGCGGATCGACGGTTTGGAACGGGAATGATTCGTAGTGGAGATTACCGGCTGTGCGGATGCCATAGCCCTGGATCAACACGCAGCCGTTCTTGAGCTGTTCGTTCAGATTCCGGAAGTTTTCCGAATTGAGGACGTACGAGTCAGAGTGCAGGATGTTCACCAGTAGCTTTCCGTAGCCGAGAAATAGACGGGGCAGGCTCTTGAGTACGGTCCCGCGGCAGAGCAGCAAACTGGGAGGACCATAGCCTAAAACAAACAAGATGTAGAAAATGGTAGAGTTTGTAAGAAATAACAAAAAACCTGTGATATGATTATAGAAGAGCTTGCTCCACATGGGTGTCACATCGGAGCTGCGCAGAAACTGCCCAAAATAGGGAATGCTAAACGTGTGACTGAGCGATGCGGTCAGAGGCGAAGCAGCTATTATAAACTTGTACTTCTTCTCCAGAACGCGATCTCGCGTCTGCCGATCCAGGCCCTCCAAGCACTCCAGTCGCAGCAGATCCAGGCCACCCGGAAGTAGATGGCGCAGCGAGCAGATCGTGGAACGAAGGATAACGGCGTGAGCAAAGTACCGGGACACATCGCCTTCTCCCTCTGCATCCAGCAGCGACACTTGCTCCAGTTCGGCCAGAAAACTGTCCAGGCTCTCCTCGCACAGCTTACCCACCTCGAACATGGTGACAGCGTGATTCTTTAGGCCCGGCGATAGGTTACCCATCATCAGGAAAGCTGTTAGCGTCGAGTCAAAGAGGAAGCCCACTCTTTTGCCGCTCTTTGGTAGAGCCGGCACAGGAGCTGCAGCTGCAGGCGGCTTGGTCGTTCGCTCACTCAGATCCTCTAGCTCCAGCTCTGAGCTAAGCTCTTGTTCGTCGCTGTTGTTGTTGCTGTTCATCGGCTCCTGAGGCGTAGTGTTCAAATTGGCGAAGCTAAAGTCACTGGTATTCCCATCCGAGGAGAGGTATCCAATGGAGCTGCTGTCCTTATCCTTGTCCTTTTCCTTGGGTGTCTTTGGGGACTTGGGGCTCTGATCAAACTCAAAGCTGTTGGCATGTAGGTTATAGTTTAGCGGCGTGATCTGTGGCGTCTCGGGCGTCTGCTGCCGGTTGTAGCCGTCCCAGCTGGAATGATTGGGTTGACTCTGAAGCTGCTGGAGCTGCACCGCATCCTGCTTGCGATGGGCAAAGCCCAGGCGGCAGATAAAGGAGACCGCCTGCTTGACACTATCCAGTTCCAGCTGCAGCATGTGGGCCAGCTCTGCGATAGTCATGTGCTCGTCCGCACTCACAAATATCTTGTACAGCAGATTCTCGAAGTAGTCGCCGCTCACACGATTCATTACAAAGTTCCGCAGCGGTGGAATGGAGATCCGATCCTCGCCGCTAATGGGCACATCCAAATAGACGAGACCCTTCCTGTACAGGCTGTGCACCACTTCGTAGTCACATTTGCCCGCTGGCTGGGCTCCAAAGTCTATGAGGTCATCGATTAATCCTCTCTCCGCCGGCGATAAATACTTGATGTCTGCCTCCAGAACGTAACCAATATCCAGTCGCCACCAGGGCTCCATGTGGATGCGGACGGGAAAGCGCGGCAGGAAGTCGAGCGGATTGGGCCGCGATCCGAAGAGCAGGGAGCGTGGCGTGTGGGTCTTTAAGTCGCTGATCAGGGCCAGGTACTCGTTCCGCCCGATGCCCAACACGCGCAAGCAGTCGGCGGCCGTGAAGTTGGGCAGCGTGTCATAGCTCTTGTCACTCCGCAAGAGCTGGCCCAGCACGTCCAGATAATAGTTGAAGGGCGTGACTCTCAGGCCCTTGGTCACGATGTCGGCCAGATGGTAGGGAAACGCGCCCAACCCGTTAATACTCTTCTGGACTAGCAGCTCGTAGTAGCGCTGCTCCCGCCGGAACACCTTGGCGGCCAGGTTACCCCTGAAGCGCAGCTGGTTCTTCAGGCTGTAGTTGAAGACGAACTTCTCGTAATCGCGCTGGTTGTTGTGCAGCACGGAGCGCAGGTGGACGGGCAGCAGCTGCCAGGTGACGTTTCCACGCACGCATTGCTGCAGTTGGTTCTGGCAGTTGCTACCCCCAGCTCCGCCGCCACTACCAATTGCGGCTCCAGCTGCGGACCCATTGCCTCCGCCGCTGGCCAAATCCTCTTGCTCCGTCATCGTTGGACTCGGATTCGGTCGAGATCTATGGCATATATGGACTAGCTCATTCCCTGGCCTCTAGTCAATGGAGTCTTTAATATTTTCCACCGCTGCGAGTTGCGTTTTATTTTTCTTTTCTTTAGTTGGCAGGAAGAGGAAAAACGACGACAGCTGATAACGGCGGACCGTCTTTTGCAACACTGGTCGATAGGTCACGCATGGGACCCTATCGGAATCGAAATAATATTTCTGGGAAGAACAATCAAAACAACAAAATAATCCTAACCATTTTAAACTTTTTACCAAGTTTAAATTTGAAAAATAAATAATAATATACTAAAAGTATGAAAAGAAATGATTTTAATATTTGAGAATTAAATTTAAAAATTTTAATTTCACGTTTCAACAATAGTAAGTAGTTGTAACAGCGTCACTATTAAATTTTATATATTTAACCGTACTGTTTGAGGCAATACATGAAGTAAAACTTTTTATAAAATGTCAACGTAAATCTTTGTAAAACGTATTATTTGGCTTTTATCTGATATGTACCTAAAACCTATCGATATCCCTTCCTATCGTACCTGTACTCCTATCGGTGCTTCCCAACACAGACGTTTTACGCGTTGTGCAACACCGTTGATGATTTTCAATATTGCTTTGAAAACACTTGATTTTTTTAGTCGAAATTGTCAGATTTTGTTATGATTAGTTTGTAAACAGTGCGCGCTCCAAGTTCAAGACTAAACAAAGACGGCCTGGAAGCCTTCGATGCGTGGCCAGCCAGCGGCAGATGCAAGGACAGCGAATGCTGAGCAGCGGCAACAGAATTTAAGGTCACAGCAACAAAAGGGACATCAACATCGATTTTTTTGCACCCTTTTTTTTGTGAAGCACAATCTTGGCAAGCGCTCGGCCGGTTTTGAGCGAACAAAGGAAAAACTAAGCGGGTGTGGGGGGTGTGAATACAGCGGATTTCAGTGAAGATGAGTGGCGGCGGCGGTGAGGAGGAGGAGCAAACGCAGCAGCAGCGGCAGCATCAACACCAGCTGCCAGGTGTGTCCTCCAGGTGAGTGTCTCCTGTACTGCAGTTAAAAGCTAGATAACTGATTGCATGCCCCTAATCCCCCAGTCCTTCGGGATCTGGTGCGGCAGCTGGTCGGGCCACGCCAGAAATGAAGCGATCGGCGGTGCGCAGCCTGATACAGAGATACTTCCACCAGCTGCAGTCCGGCTGCGGGAATGCCCACTGTACCAACGACAACTGCGCATCCAGCGGCAAGGTGGCGCCCATGACGCCCAATGAGGTGGCTGCCAAAGCCCTACAACTCTTCTCACAGGATGCTCAGCTCTGCGAGGCGACTGCTTCGCCAACCAGCAGGTAAGCACCTATCATCCCCTGACTAGGGTTAACCTCTAAATCACATTATTATGTAGCCCCCAGGATGTGGACATGCTGTCGCCCAACGATACCAGCAGCAGTAGCAGCGGCAGCTCCACCAGCACGATTACCTCTGCCAGCACCACCACCACCACCAGCACCCAGTCACAGAGCGCGCCAGTTGCCGCTGTAGTGGCGACTCCTGCTTCTGGCGCTCCTGACAGTTCAATCCCTGTTCAGAGTGTGCCGCAGCTGGATCTCGATGGCCCAGGTAACGCTGAGCCATCATCCGTCGGCTCTGAACCTTCTACACCCACCCTGCCAGTAGTACAGAGCCTGGATGCCAACACTCTGATAACTCTCTATGAGGAGTGCAGGGCGGCGGACAACTACGACAGGATTACCAAAGCAATCGACTATGTATTCGGATCCGTGGACCTACTGAGTAACAGCTTCATACGCAACGCAGAACCAGTGGTGTCTAGTAGTTTACAGGAGCTATTGGATAATATACCAGAGCCACTAAACAAAGAACAGTTGCGAGCGTTAGAGGGTGAGCACGACAAAGACGAGGACTGTACCCAAAAAGAGGAGGAAGAGGCAGCCGGAGCAGATTCTGAGGCGCCGTCCGCTGGGGAAGTATTAGTTACAACCGATACCGAAGCAGAGACCGAGGACGATGACGTGCCCATGGCTCAACCTGAGGCAGCTTCCCAAACGGAGGAGGACGATAAGATGGAGAGCAGCGACACGCTGGTGGATTTTCAGGGACTGCGACGCGTTCAGCGTCTGCTTTTCGATTGTCATACGCGAGAGAAGCTGACCATCAGCGTCATGAATCTGGCGGAATGGGTGCAATACATCCGGTACGACTGGGAGAAGGTGATTCACTGCCTGGTCATCTGCTTCGACCTGGCTACCAATAGTAAGATCTATTATTTAAACAAATTCATTTAAAATGTTTAATTATTTCCATTTATACACAGCGAACAACGGCGCCGTGGACATTGACTATCTGGACCGGGCGCTGCCCAAGCTATGTCAAGCGGCGGCCTTCATGCCCGTGGCGGCACAGGCTCGTCTGGCCAGGATATGGGCAGTACATTGTTCGGATCAGTTACAGTCTCTAGTTGCCGCCTGTCAGCAGCAAATCACATTACAGGTACTCCTCGACGAAGAGTCCATGAGGGAAAACAGATCCATTATTGGCGTGACCAAAGTTTTAAAGGTAATACTGTAATACTTGAGCAGTCTTTTAGAAGCTAACGTTAATCTTTATACTTTTTCATTAGATTATCTTCTATGCCAACATCCTGGCCAGTGAGTTGGAGCTACCCTCTTGCAAGGTGCCCATAGAGGATCGAGCAGAGACCCCAGCCACATCTGCATCCTCAAGTGGACCCGTTGAGGATGATTTGTTCGTTTACAGCTCAGTGAATCAACCGCATATGCCCAAGTTCGCCGAGGACCAGCTGGAGAAGGCGCTGCAAGTGTCGGCCATCGACTGCCGGCGGCCGTTGGTGCCGCTGGAGGAGTTTTACAACGAGGCACTCAGCGAGAACATCCAGATGCACCACGACTACCTCTCATACAAGACGCTGGCCATGGAGAGCGAAATGGGCTCTGGCCAAACCAACTACTTCTCCTTCATGCTCTACGCTTTTATCCTAACGCCGGCGACCAAGGTGGATGCCCTATACTACGATAGCCGTATGCGGATGTACAGTGAGCGGTACTCGTCGCTTTACTCCATTCTCAACAACTTCGGGCAGGATGGTCAGGATGGTACTCCCAGGCCGGATCTTAAGTTGACGGTGCGCCGGGATCAGCTTATTAACGATGCTCTCATCGGGGTGCGTCTACTCTTTTATTAGAAATGTAATATATCGAATATATAACAAATTAATCATATTTTCATAGCTGGAACTGGTGGCCATGAGCAATCCAAAGGATCTCAAGAAGCAGCTTGTGGTGGAGTTTGTTGGCGAGCAGGGCATCGATGAGGGCGGCGTATCCAAAGAGTTCTTCCAGTTAATTGTGGAGGAGATTTTTAATCCCGCTTTCGGGATGTTTGTCCAGCAGGAAGAGACCAATAATATGTGGTAAGATTACATATATTTTTTAAAGTTTACAGAAAAAAGGCATAACGATAAATTTTTCCCAAGGTTCAACGCCACACCCTTTGAGAATGGGGCTCAATTCACATTGATTGGGATTATCATCGGTCTGGCGATCTACAATAATGTAATCCTGGCTGTTAACTTTCCCATGGTGGTCTACCGCAAGCTGATGGGATACTGCGGAACCTTTGCGGACCTTAACGACTGGAGTCCCACGCTTTATAAGAGTTTAAAGTCCATGCTGGACTACCAGGGCCAGGACATGGAAGAGGTGTTCGATCAGACCTTCAAGATCAGCTACAGCAACGTCTTCGGAGAGATGGTGGAGCACGAGCTGGTGCCCCACGGCAAGGATGTCGTGGTGGGGCAGCACAACAAGCAGCTGTTCGTGAATCTGTACAGTGACTTTCTGCTGAACACAAGCATTCAGCAGCAGTTTAACGCCTTCCGCAAGGGCTTCGAAATGGTGACGGACGAGTCGCCGTTAAGGCTTCTCTTCCGGCCCGAAGAGATCGAGATGCTTGTATGCGGCAGTCGCGTACGTATTTTGCTATTCATTTTGTTTTTAATAAGAAATTGATAACCTAGTTATTTATCCGTTTTCAGGAGTTTGATTTCGTTGAACTGGAGCACTCGACGGAGTACGAGGGCGGCTACACGGAAGAGTCGCGAATCATTCAAGACTTTTGGAGCATTGTTCACGCCATGCCAAACGAATCGAAGCGGAAGCTGCTTGAATTTACGACCGGCTCTGCACGGGTACCGGTCGGCGGTCTGAAGTGTCTGCGGTTACTAATTACGCGACACGGTTCGGATAGTGATCGTCTGCCCACCTCGCACACCTGCTTCAATGTCCTGCTGCTGCCGGAGTACAGCAGTCGGGAAAAGTTGGAGGAGCGCCTGCTAAAGGCCATCAACTATTCAAAGGGCTTTGGCATGCTGTAGACTTAATATACACTCATACATACATGACCAACGTCCAAGTCCAAGTCTGTCATCGCAACTGTTACCACCTCTCTCTCTCTCTCTCTGGGACGAAGAAGGAGAAATTTGTAATGGGTTTGAGTTCGTTTTGGGTTCTCCCATTTATTTTTGATACGACCTGTTCAATGAGACAATATATACATACAAATAATATATGCTCAATTTCTGGCGCGATGGCAAGTGAGCGAGCGAGCGATCACCGGACGGGTACACGATTTTGTTTCCCCTCGTCGCCCAATTAATTGTAAATACACACTACATACCGCATTAGTGTATGCATTCACCTATGTAAACACCCCACATTTAAGTCGCAACGCGCTGAATATTTTGCTAAATAAATTTGGAAGTTGTGCGCCAAATCAATGTTTAATTTTCAATGTGATTTGGTATTAAATATTAGTGATATTAGCTCGTTTATGAAAGAATTTTAAAAGTAGATAAATCGGCGCGAACAATGTTAAGTAAACATCGATAACTTGACAACATTAAGGTAATCGATAGGGCAATCGCTGCTCTGCCATCTGCATAAGAATAAGAAACACCGGACGATAACGGCCAGTTAAGGTTAATACAAAGGTTATTAAATTCAACTTGAGTCCCTTAAAAGAACAATTTAGCAAACTCAGAATTTTTTTTCATTTTGATTCATTTTGATAACAAAATAAATATAAAACTAGGGTACAAGACTTAAATTGTTAACAATACATCGATTCTTTCAAATCCAAATCGATCAACAAAAACAGAATCGATAGTTAAAATCGATATTGTACCAGCTCTATGGGACGTTAGTTTCACTTGTTACGTTTTTACTTTTACTTTTTGTTAAAAAAAAAACAGACGATGGAGCGGAAACTGCACAGTGGAATGCACCACGCCACCCTGCGCCTGCTGCAGGAATCGGGTTGCGAGATAGCCCCCCACAACCTCATGTATCCGGTGTTCATTGTGAGCAATGACGACGACGTCCAGCCGATAGCCAGCATGCCGGGAATCTCGCGATTTGGACTGAACCGCCTGAGGGAGCACCTGGAGCCACTGGTGGCCAAGGGGCTGTCTTCAGTGCTGCTCTTTGGGGTGGTGGAACCGGAACTAAAGGACGAAAAGGCCTCCAATGCGGATTCCGCCCAGAATCCCGTGGTCAAGGCATTGCCAAAGCTGCGAGAATGGTTTCCCAACCTCCTGATCGCCTGCGATGTCTGCATCTGCCCGTACTCCTCCCACGGCCACTGCGGTTTGCTGGGCGAGAATGGATTGGAGAATGGTCCCAGCATCAAGAGGATAGCAGAGATTGCAGTGGCCTATGCCAAAGCCGGTGCCCATATAGTGGCACCCTCCGACATGATGGACAACCGGGTGAAGGCCATCAAGCAGGCTCTGATCGATGCGGAAATGAATAGTGTTTCCCTGCTGGCCTACTCCGCCAAGTTCACTTCCAATTTCTACGGTCCCTTCCGGGAGGCGGCGCAATCGGCTCCCAAGTTTGGTGATCGTAGGTGCTATCAACTGCCCAGCGGATCCAGGAGTTTGGCCATGAGAGCCATTCAAAGGGATGTCGCCGAGGGAGCTGACATGCTAATGGTGAAACCCGGCATGCCATACTTGGACATTTTGAGATCCACCAAGGATTCCTATCCATACCACACGCTGTACGTCTACCAAGTGTCTGGTGAGTATGCGATGCTTTACCATGCCGCCAAGGCAGGAGCCTTTGATCTCAAGGATGCTGTGCTAGAAGCTATGAAGGGCTTCCGTCGTGCTGGCGCCGATTGCATCATCACCTACTACACGCCCTTCCTTCTGGACATTATCACAGAAAGGGTTAAGTAATTGCTAAACTCCAATGGTGCAACCTTTGTCTGTGGCTCGTGTCTATGTAGTATAGAGTGGACCTCTTATTGTTATTTCATTTCATTAATTGTTAAATTTCCATGACTTTAATTTCAAGACGGGTTTTAAAGGTTTCTTTTAGTAACGTTTAGGTTTAAGATTTAAAGTTTCCAGAAGTTAGATTTCATAACCAAAGTACTTAATAGATTGCCTTATCTATAAGCTCAAGCTTTTGCTTAATAATATTCATTAAATGAATGTTTTTTTAAATCTTACGGAGGTCCACCTCTATTGTTCAATCACCATTACTGGTGCTTTTAGTTACAAGTGCCTCGCTCCATTCGCCGCAAATACACACACACGCACAACTAGAGTGTATATTTTAATGGTCTTATCAATCGAATCGAATTAAATCGTCTTGTTTTGGAATTCTAATGGGCACGGCCAGACACTACACACCGAATATCAATTGCATGATGAAATTCAAGCTGTCTTAACCGGATCTTCAAGCAAAAGCAACCAGGTTTTTTTAGGTGAATGGCAATTAAGACTTTTAATTAATATGTGGACTCTTTGATTGCATTTACAAATGGGGCTACGGTGAGCACTGAACACACTGCCTGGGAGAGAGAGCTTACTTGGCTAAATTGGTACAAATTTAAGTCTTAAAAGAAATGTAAAAAAGATCACAAAATGAAATGCTTTTAAGTACAATAAAACAATAAAGTTAACATTCTGAGGAAAATGAGTTGAAATTCAAGTTAATTGGAGATATTGTATCCATTTCGATCCTCTGAAATGTAACCTTAACTTTTTAGTTCGTTTACAATAACAGTTGCCTCGATTTTGTTAAGGTATAAATAGAATTTCATAGGTAATCATTAATAATCTCTTAATCATTTCAATTCATTGAAAAATAAACTTTAAACAATTTCGATTCTACGAAATATATGGTATAGATTATCCTCTATAGCTCCCATTCCGCCAAATTGGTTTAGAATGTCTTTCGAGAGTTCGGGTTTTGAGCTAACTTAAACTAAAAATTCTAAATTAATAGCTTAAATTAAAAAGCGTAAAGTTATAAACAATTAAGGTAACTAAAGCTAAGTTACAATTATAAAAAAGATCAAATACTGAGTGCATTAAGGATAATTTAGGTTGGAATCTCATTTGTTCGCAATCTCCATACTTTTTAGGGACTCTCACTGCTATGGATGCGACTGTGCTCCAGGATGTCCGTGTTCTGCATGGGCTCCAGGTCTGTTTCTGAGATAATCTCGGCCAGCCACTGCTCGATCTGCACGGGATGGAAGGAGTCCTCGTCACCGCTGTTGGCCTCCAGTATGATTTTAAGATTCTCAAAGTTCTTCAGGATCAGCCGCTTGCCGGGCTGCAGCTGAGGACCCATGGACTCGCTGCTCTGCGTAATGGTTGTGGTAGTGGTGGAGACTGGCTCCTGTTTGGAAGGTACGGACTCCTGAGGATTGGAGTTGGCATCGCAACTGGAATCGGCAGCGGCAGCCTGAACGGTCTCCGCGGCCACTTGGTGGTATGTTCTGCGCGGCTTCTCCACCATGCTCTTCTTGATTTCATTGAGTAGACGGTTGTAGAAGTCACAGGTCACGTCGCGAATGTCTGTCTCCTCGTAGCGTTGGCTCTGACCCGGTGTGGGTGTGGACTCCGAGCTGGGTTCTCGCTCAATCCGTTCCTGCTTTTTGGTGGCTGCCTTTTGCTTCTTGGACTGCGAACGCGAACTGGCATTGCTGGAATAGTTCGAACTGGAGGCGGTGGTGGTGGGTGTGGAGTTCGAGTTGGATGGTTCGGTGGTGATGCTGGAATCAGCGGATTTGGCCAGTGGTATCTCAGCGCTAACGGCCTCTTCATTGGCGCAATTGATGGTCAGGCTGGCAATGTTGCGCAAATTAATGGTTCCATTGCAATTGTTGATGGTGATCTTTGGCTTGAAGCGCTGCTTTCGGGTCTTCTTTTGCGGCTCCTGGACACTGCCCTTGGACTTGACTGAGGTTTCGCGGCCCAAACTCGACACGGCCTCGGCAATGGATGACTCCAGTTCATCGTCCAACTCCTCCAAGTTCAAAGGCGGCACATAGGTTTCCCTCTTGATCTTGGCCTTCCTTATCAGCTCCTTGGCCTCCTGCAGTGTAATATTTATAATGGACCTCTTCGCATTGTCCTCCACGAGAGTTCGATTACGCGAAAAATCCACAACAATGGCCTCTGGCGGGGCCCCGTCTTCATCCAGATCGTAGTATGCTACATTCCCGTCCTGCAGGCACTTGTACATCGTCTCGTGGTCGTCGAGGGGCTCAATGTAGTCTTCATTCCGCAGGCCCGTAGTGCGATAATCCTGCAGCGCCAGTTGCATGTCACTGTTGTCCAGCAGGAAGTGACCAAAGCTCCGAATGGCCGTTAGCAGCTTCTCCTCCACCTCATCGTCATCGTCGGCGCCTCCCTCGCCAGCGACGAACCTGACGCCAGTTTGCTCCTTCTCCGGATGGGAGCTCTCCTTTACCAGCTGCTGCTGCTTCCGAGTGTTGGCTATGACCTCCAGTTGCCGCAGCAGCAGCTTCTCGCGCATATGGAGCGCCGCCCGGATTTCATTGAACTTCTTTTGTACGATGCCTTTGACCTGGGGGCGTGGGACGAAAACGGCGCCGATACGCAAAAAAAAAGGGATTGGGGATGATAAGGCTATGTATTCTGAGAAAATATGTCCCGGCAACTCACCTCATCCAGATTTTTGTCCATTTCGCGAGATAATCAATAATTAACTTTCTGTTTCTAAAGGCAGCGCATTTTTTTCCTTCGATTCCTTTTTTTTTCGTGTTTCCTCTTTTTGTTTGATCGATCAGCTGCTGGGACAGTGTGGTCAAATCAGGCGTTGGCGGCAAACGCGGTTTTCTAGACGTGTTAGATGTAAAATGTTAAATAACAGCTTCGCAATTCAATATCGAAAAATACCGAATAAATATACTGATATATTAGTATTTTAAAACATTTTCAGCGTCCAAAAGACGACCGACATCCGACAGTACCCGAGAGAGAGTTCTGTTAATTAACATCCGGCCGAGAGCTGTTATGTTACGAATCTAACTTTTTACACGAGAATTCGATCCCACAGATGAGAATTCGACGCCATGTATCTGTAAACGTGTAGAATGGTTATCTTGACATGTTAGGTGTCGAATGTTAAGGAACAGCAAAAATTTACAAGAGCAAAAAAATTTTTCACTCGGCGGCGGCGGTTGTGTCGCGGACGGAAAGCAAAAGATATTTTTGAAAAGATCGAAAATTGAAGAAATTAAATGCAGCAGGTGAATTAAAAAAAATGGGAGAAAACAGAAAAGTGCTGGTGAATTAAAATTATTAAACAATAAAGAGAATATGGAAACATGGAAACAACAAATAGTGTAAACACCGGTAACTGTATCGAGTCATTGGTTTTTTATTTCAATTCGTTTCGCGCCTGCCGGCGGTAAAAGTGCGCCAATTCACGTTGCAATAAAACAAACAAACAAAGTTAATGGCAAATTAACAAGAGATCACATTTTTGGTTAAATTTAAAGAAAAACAAATCGAAAAGTAGCCGCTTCCACGTACACTCAGCTGTCATTGTCTTTGCTCTCTGTCGTCTCCTTCCTCCGCGTCGCGCCGCTTCAAGTGTTTGGTTTTGTAATTGTTTTTGTTTCGGTTACTGTTTCATACGGAACTGTGCCATGTTTTTTATTTAATTCGCCTTCAATTTGTTACATTTGTCGCGTGGCTTTTTCGAAAAGAACGAGAGAAAAGGGCAAAATGCTCCAGTGTTTAAATAACAATCGACAGTCAGCGTTTATTGTTGTTGCCTCCGACTAATTTGAGCTGTGCTAGTGTGCGAGTACGTTGGAATGCATGTGTGTGTTTGTTTGTGTGAAGGCGCGCTGGCAGTTATATTTGTGTTTGTGATTGCGTGTTGTTGTTTTTGTTTCGCTCTCGCAGCCAAAGAAATATTCGAAAAAAAATATGTGCATTTCTCAGAGAATTTGACTTTGTTTCTCATTTGTGAAGGAGCGAGTGAGACACCGCATGGGAAAAGAAGCAACAAACAGAACAAGACAAAAAAAAAAGGGAAACACACATGCAAAGCAACAAAAGAAACAGGCAAATAAAAGAGAGCAAGCCAGCGCGACGGTGACGCCAAAAATTTAAAAAATCCATAAAGCCTACTGCTGCTAGCTACACTTTATGTTGTTTGCCATTCGGCTTGGAATTAAATTTGTCAACTATATTTAATTGGATCGAACGTGTTGTGTTTTCTATTCCCCACTGATTGTTTCGTTTTGCTGTGTTTTTGCTTTGCATGAGTGTGAGCGACGAGACTGTCTTTGCAAATTGTCTTTACGTCGGCGGGTCGTTGAAATTTTTTTATTTATTTTCATTCCATTGAATATTCCACCAACGTGTGTGTGTGTGTGTTTGCGGCTACATGTGCTTGCGATTGTGATTTGTTTAAAGAAGAAATACAGTTAGACTTTTCGCTTTCTGGTCAAGTCTTTTGTTGTTGTTTGTGTCTCTAGCTTTCCGGTTTATCCTCCACCTTCTTCCTCACTCAGTTCCCCCTCTCCCCTCATAGTTTTCGATTCCCTCTTGTTATCATCGAGAAACTGGTTTTTTCTTTAGTCTCCGTGTTGTTTTTGTCTGTGTTTTTTTACCTAGTCTCTCTCTCTTGGCTTTTAAATACAAAATTACCTCATTTTACACCTCGAACTCGAACTCGGGCTCAAGCTCGGTGCTTTTTATTTAGGCGGTGCGACTAACTCACACACGCAATCCCATTAAATTAAATCATTTTTATTCCGCCTTGTATTAGTAGGTCGTTCAAATGTTATTAAACTTTTTGTCGAGTTCAAAAGTTAAGGTTGTTAGCCGAAATTCAGGTTTCAAAAAAATCTCTCATAAAGAAAAATTTAAAATTTTGAGCAAATTATATGCATAAATATATATTTTAAAGTCGAAATGTTATTAATAAAAGTGTTAAAATGACTTTCCACAGCTTTGAACTACCCAACAAATCCAAACTGTTTTTATAATAATCAAGTGAATCAAACCAATATATTCTTTTAAACTACTATAAACCCGGTTCGTTCTTTTTAAAACCAAATCAATTAACTAAAAATTTATAAAGATACAAAATATCTCAACTACAAACCTATATTTTAACGCGTGTAATTGAAAAACCTGCGAGTATTTAATCATCATCGAAGGCAAGTGTCAAAAAAAAGTGTTCCGAGGTCAATGTTTTCTCTGTTTCAACGGCGGCAACAACAACTCATCGCTTCAATTAAGTACACAATCTGCAGCAAGGTGAGTTTTATTCAGTTATATTTATAGTACTTATTTGCCCTGTTACATTCCCCTGACCCTGGCCCCGCTTTTGGAGTGTTTCGAAATACCCGCCGCCCACTTGTATTTGCCCCATTGAGGGCTAAACGCTCCAGTATTCATAGACGAGACCAGTTAGTAACTCCTCATCGTGTGAATTTGTTTACTTGCTATATTGCCGATAATGTGCCGAGTAAGTTGCAATACCCCATCGATAATGGGGTTAAACAATTAACAGATATCAGTATTATCATTAGCAAATATATATGCCACGAGCAAGGGAACTATTTACTGGGTAAATATATGCAAAGGGAATTTATGTAACTAATTTGTTATCTAGGTTTTATATTTGTAAACAATGAAAAAGCTCATGGGGCTATGGAATTTTTATTTCAATAGTAAGGATGATAATGTTTAGAGAAATGGATAAATATTCTTTAGTATTTGATTTAAATTGATTCAATTTATTCACAGGGTGAATAATGCGACTTTACTGCAAGTTTTTATTAACATTTTATCTAAGAAAGATAGAAAACTAACTTCGGAAAGTTGAAGTTGATATACCCTTGCAGTTTTTAATTGATTTATAGAATCGAATTGGATATTAAGGTCAAATATTTACCGATAATTTTATATGGCAATTTTTATCAACAAAGTCAAGTTTAAAAAACTCATAACTAAGCCAAAATTGAATTAATTTTAGTTCGGGAAGCTCTTATGTCTTAGTTTTCATTAGGTTTATAAATCTGCTTACTCAATTTAACATTTCAGAAAATTGAAATTTTTAATACATTTTTGAAAATTTTAACGATAATTTTAACTATAAAATGTTGAAAAAAAATTCAAAATTTTATTTTTCGACCAGACATGGCGAGATCGACTCGGCTGTTGATGCTGATCAAGAATATATACGATTTATAGGGTCGGAAATGATTCCTTCACATTATAACAAAATAAAATAACAATACCCTTTCAAGGGTATAAAAACAGTGTTCTTGATTTTGTGATTCATTTGTACTCAAATAAAAATGAGGTCATTACTATTTTATCATGTTGTTAGACAACATTTAATGTTTAAATTAATTCTTATCTAGTAAATGTGAGATAGTCGACATAGAATTACTTATATTTATATAGCAAAAGCATTTATAAATAGAAAAAATACCCCTACAAGCTGAAGAATCCTTTTGTTAAATGCTTTAAAAAACCAAATTCCATTGCATACAATTACAATTTCCATTGGCTTGTGTTTCTTTGTTCCAAAAATATAATTAATGTGTATTAACGAAACGACTTTTGGCACTTGATGTGGGAAAGCGTAAAGGTATTCCTTTTGTTCGACAATTTTAATAAGTTAATTTCGCAGGCGTCATAGAGTTCTCATCGATGATTTAAAACTGAATGGAATTGAGTGGCAATTATTAAATCTACTGTAATTACGATTTTTAATGCAATTAATCAGAGAAACGACAACGAGCTTTAACAATTGCAAATCCAATTGGCCCTCATCCGTTGGAGGAGAATGAGGAGGAGCTCTCAGCAATTGCAGAGCAAAGCTCCAGAGTTCCTCAGTTCACTGGATTTATATATATCTATATATATAAAAATGCTCTGTTCGTGTCTACATCCTTCATAGACTTGAAAAGTTCTGAACCGTTTAAGCCCAAATTTTTACACAACATGCGTTGAGTTTCCAGCTCGGTTATTGTCTACTTTTGATGTTGATAGCTTATCTGCGGTTGCGAATATATCAATTTTTTTAGCGTTTCCCCGTGCCCCTACTGCTGCGCCCTCTACAGGCAGCCAGCTGAATCAAAGCATTTCCTGTCAAACATTCAAAACATTTTGAAAGAAGAAATTGGAGATACAAATTTTATTTTTTTGTTCAGGTTCAGTAAGAAACGAAGTCATGCCACCAAAGAAGTCGAGATTGGGTCGTCGTATTCGCAATACAGAAGCAAAAAGACGTAAGATTACGAATATGACTGACGAAGAACGGGCCTCCATCCGAGAGACGCGGCTGCGCGATGAACTTTTACTCATACAGGTTAATGGTTCGGAGGACCGATTGCAACCATATATTGAAATGTCGTCAGTTGTTTCATCAGTACATTGTCGATATGTATGCAAAAATTGAAACAGAACGTTTGCTGTTCCTCCGCTTGAATCAGACGAAACTTCGGTCGGATGAATATATACATTTGCGGGATGCTGTGATGAATGACCGTAATACAACCAACGTTGGAAAGCTCACGATTTTGCCATCCTCATACATAGGTAGTCCACGCCACATGCAGGAATATGCTCAAGATGCCATGGCATATGTTCGTTGCCACGGCCGTCCAGACTTATTTATCACCTTCACATGCAATCCAGCTTGGGACGAGATAGTACAGCTGTTATTTCCTGGACAATCGTATAGGGATAGGCATGACATCACAGCCCGTGTTTTCAGACAAAAGCTCAAGTCACTGATGGATTTCATTGTGAAACATGGAGTTTTTGGATCTGTGCGGTGCTGGATGTATTCAGTAGAATGGCAGAAGAGAGGATTGCCGCATGCGCACATACTGATTTGGCTGTATGATTTTTATCAAAATTACTCCAGATGAAATCAACGATGTTATATGCGCTGAGATTCCACGGGCCGAGGTTGATACGGATTTACATGAAGTTGTCATCAAGAACATGATCCATGGCCCATGTGGTACCCTCAACCCATGTTCACCATGCATGGTAGACGGGAAGTGTTCCAAGCGATATCGTCGAGCATTTACAGCCAACACCGTAACAGGGGACGATGGATATCCTCTGTATGGGAGACGGTCAACTAAAGATGGAGGGACTTCGGCAAATTTAAACATGAGAATTGGTGATATTGAGGTAGACAATCGTTGGGTGGTTCCATACTCACCACTATTGTCAAAATCATACAAAGCGCACATCAACGTAACGTAACACATCAACGTAGAATATTGCAATTCCGTGAAATCGATTAAATATATCTGCAAGTACGTGAATAAAGGCAGCGATATGGCAGTTTTTGGTGTTCAGGCAGAAAATGGTGACAACAATGCAGTACGAGTTGTCGATGAAATATCTCAATACCAGGCTGGAAGATACATAAGCAGCAACGAGGCTGCATGGAGAATTTTTTCGTTCCCCATTCATGAACGCTATTCAGATTTAGTTCACTTGGCAGTCCATTTGGAGAATGGTCAACGTGTCTATTTCACAGAAAGAAATGTGCAAGAAAGAGTCCTGAATCCGCCAGCGACAACTCTGACTGCCTTCTTCACCTTATGCCAGAAAGATGATTTTGCCAGAACCTTGATGTATTCAGAAGTGCCCTCTTAACCATAATATGCCACAGAGAAACGTGGCAGGGTACAGCTAGTAGATACATATAAATTGATTACTCGGCTTTAATTAGTTTCAATTTGCACAACGCCATCGAGATATCATCGAGGGGCGGGTCAGGGGGTTATAGAATATTTCCCCCTTCAATTGTTTGCTCTTTCAGTCTTGTCAGTCGTTTTTCCAAAAATTATTTTGCAGTTTGCACAATCAAATTGAATGAACAATGTGCAATATTTTGATTCCACATCCAGTAGTAGCTTTTGGGCCAAAAATAAATTAGAAATATGCATGGCCAGGCCAGAGTTTAATTGTAAATAACTGTTGGTCAACAATAAGGAAAACGTTATTTTGTATTTATATGCATTTAATTGTAAGCTGTTAGCATTTTCCTCTATGGAAATATTTTGCAATAACTTTTGGTACACTTTCAGTCTGATATTTAATCCGCATTGCAAAGTGGCTTTCGAAATGTTTGCCAATTGCAGACTTTTGACTTGTGAATTTTTATTACTGCCCCTCTCCCTCACCCCTTTCGACCCCATGACACTCTGATTTTCACCCCTCAACTTTTCCCCCTCAATTTTCCCTGAAGAGCTAACAATTTGCATAACAAAGCCGCTTAGCCTCCGGAGTGCTGGCGGTATATTTTTGTATTCATGATTGATGGGTCTCGGGTCACATATATATATATATGTATATATGTAGCATATAGCATTATTATTATGGTTTTCGCAGAGATACGCAGAAATGTGTGTGAAGCATTTCGTAGCTGGGAAATGCCACCACAAGTGCTGTACTTTTATCTGTTGCAATTAAACTTAATCACTTGTTCACAATTAGCCTGGCAGCTGCGATAATTTCATGTTCGTGTGTTTATGGCCATTAGGTGGACATAAAAATCCTGTTTCTACCTCCTTCCTCCCGGAATGTAGCTGCCCCAGAACCCCATAAAAATCAAATCAAATTACATTACTAATGCGCCGCGTTGCCACACTCTCGCATTTGCATTTATTTCGCCAATTTATTCTAGAGGCAGCTATCCCTAACAAAAAAAAAGAGACCCCCATATATAACTCTCGATTCGGACCCGGCCTAAGCTGATTTTATTTTCGGGGGTTTCCCCCTCATTCTATGTTGGCTTTTAGCGCTACCTTCGCGTGCGTGAATGAAATGCTGCCCGTTCCACTTAAAAAGCATTGGTGACTCATGGAAAAGCTTGTCCCTTTTCTTTTTTTTTTTTTTTTGTGCTGTTTTCCCGAGGACGACGGCTGTCCTGGTCGTTTTGGTGCTTTTTTTTACGGCTTGAATCATGCATTTTTTACCATTCTCTGGCTTTTTTATTGGTCGCCTTCATTTTTTTGTTGCGTTTGCCTTGTTTTGTGGGTCGAAGCGAAATGCGTTTAGCTGGGCGTGGATTTGTTTTTATTAGCGGGTCTCCGGCGGGCGGTTTTGTAAACAGCTTTAGCACAGATCATAATACCATATTCAAACGGTTTTACTGCACCAAGGGGGCACTTACATTCTATGCATATTATTTGCAAGATTTTCCAGGGTTAAATAATACCGCTTTTAAGGTAATTGTTTAAGATGCCATGTGGGGCAATTTTGTGCTTAGTAAGTGT